AGAAAACTACAACCAAAATTTGTTGGGTATGATATGGACAGATGCACAGATAAACAGGAAGTTGAAATTGAATTCATACAAAAATGAATCCCACGATATGGCATGTCTAAGCAAAGAGTGTGTTAAAATTTCAAGCACCTGCGATGAGTAGTTGCTGAGAAAACTGCGACCAAAGTTTGTTATGTATGGTACGGACAGATGCACGGATAAACAGGAAGTTGACATCGAATTAGTACAAAAATGAATACCACCATATGGCATGCCTAAACAAAGAGTGTGTTAAAATTTCAAGCACCTGCAATAAGTAGTTGCTTAGAAAACTGCGTCCAAAATTTGTTATGTATGATACGGACAGATGCACGGATAAACAGGAAGTTGACATCGAATTCGTACAAAAATGAATCCCACCATATGGCATGCCTAAACAAAGATTGTGCTAAAATTTCAAGCATCTGCAATGAGTAGTTGCTGAGAAAACTGCGACCAAAATTTGTTATGGACAGACAGACAGACAGACAGATGGACAGACAGACACACAAGGATAAAACAGTATACCCCCCTCTCCTTTGGAGCGGGGGTATAAATATGGAAAGATGGAAACTTTTTAACAATATACATGTACATCCATTTGTTCATTTTTGTTAAATATTCGACATGTCTTTTTATTTTCATTTTATTTGTTTACTTCTAGATCAATCTCAAAATATGTCAGGCATAAAGCTCATTTCGGGGCTAGCTGGTGACAGGAATGTTACATCTAGCCCTTTTTTAAATCTGTCAGCACTGACCACACCTTGGACAATCACAGATGGTAATATAACCACAGCCCTCACTGAAGCTATCTACAGGTTTGTTAGTCTCTGTTTTCTTGTATCCCTTGACCATCATAATTTTTCTTAAACTCAAATTTCATTCAAAACTAATATTACAGATCTATTTCTATCATCTTTCCAATTAGTAAATGCACTTTGAACCTTTCCTTGGCATAATATCATAGTATTTTGACTATTTTGTCTGTATATAATCCTCTAAACTATTTAATAAGGCCAAACAAAAAAATATGTGTGGTTCCGGTTACACTTCCAAAAAAAATTAGGGTAGGTAGGTAGGGAATTTTTTTTTTTTTTTTTTTTAACAAAATGATTTTCTTAATTTTTTCTAAATAATACCTATCACTGCTTTGCAATGGCGTTTAGATGAGGTGTGATAATATACTAGTCAATATTGGTAGGGGACACCTACATGCTAGCTTGCTTTGGATTTAACACTATTCAACACTTGCACTATGTTTTGCAAGGAGGCCGTCATTGCTGAAACTAAAACTTAAACTGGAGCCATTGATGGAAATCGGGGAAAATTCCGGAAAAAATATGAAAATTGCCAAAAAAAGTTTAGGGTCGGGGGTATAAAATAGGGAAGGTCGGGTAACCGGAACCACGCATATTTTTTTATTTGGCCTAACTAAACTCAGAGTCATCTATTGGACTGTCGGTCAACAGTCATCTATTGGACTGTCGGTCAACAGTTTGCAAATTTTGGACTTGTGATCTATTTGACTGCCAGTCAATAGTTTGCAAATTTCGGACTGGCAATCTATTGGACTGGCAGTGCCCATATAATGAGTATATCAGGTAATATTCTGATCAGTCAACAGGTCAGACCAGTTTCTCCTTGTTGCTGGGAACAGCTGAATGTGTTCTATTACCCTCGGTCATTGGCCTCAAGCAATAGAACACACTGAGCCTTTCCCTAGCACCAAGAGAACAATATTCTGGTAGCTGCTGACTAACTTAGACATTACATGTAAATAACTGTTGAATATTTGATCCAGCTCATGGACAACAGAGGTGACGAATACTACCTATGGAACATCCTCAATTGTTGGGCTTCATGATCAAGGCTGTGTTTTGCTGCTAGGAATGCTATTATTAGTGGGCTATTTATTCTTTAAAAGATATAGACTTTAACATGCTTGATCAAGACAGATGAAGAAATCAAAGATATACTTCATCATACTCATTAATTTATAATTTATTACTTGTGTCTAAATCAATTTGACAAATGTCATTCTTTACCTGCACAAATATTAGTGTAATACATGTACCTGTTAGCTAATTGTCATGATTGTTAATATCAAATATATAATTTATAAGAATTTAGATGCTTTAAAAAATTTGTAATCTATATCTCACAAGTCTCAAATTGAAAATTTAAAATTCCATGCAGATGATAAAGTATAGTTTTTAAATATTTTAAATTTATTTGTTTACAATTATGAATTGAATAATTAATACATGCATATTATTTACGTTAACTTTGCAGTTTGTTATGAATAAGACTGTAAATTGTAACATTTAACTGTTTGAGAATTTAAGTCTCCATGCAATATATCATCATCTGATAAAATTTTATATGACATTTTTAAAACTTCTAGGGCATTTTTTGATAATTATGTAACTTATACAGTTTATTCCTATAAGCCTAAATAAAATTATCTTAAAAAATGAGAATATGATTTTTTTTTTTTTTACTTTTCATGATTAAAGTATTTTTAAAGTGCAAATAATATTTTCAACATTTTCACAACTTTCTGACAATTAAGAATTTATTGTACATTTGGTTGGTGCTCTCACCTGAATGTATTTTTGAACCTGATAATCATGGTAACACTCAATTATAGTTGCCTTGTGTATACGTAATATGTATGGAATACAAAATAATGTAGCTTATGTAGAGAAGAAGAAGCCTGAAACTTATATTTTATGACAATGTCTTTGCCATCACTAATTAAACAAAATTAAACTGCAGATCTACAGAAAAACATAGGTAATCAGAGATTACAGAACTAACCTCATGGAATGTTGTCTTTTAAGTCAAGCAAAGTCCCACATTAAACTTTAATAATGTATTAGTACTGTGCATCCCTAGATGCAACATTTATGCACTTTTAATCTGATAGGGTTTGCAGTTACTTAGGATTGGTCTTATCTAAAAACTTTGAACTAGTCACTCTTCCAGAAAATGTAAGTCAAATCCAGTATCTGAAGCAAGTTTAAGAGTGTTCATCCTTTGGTGCATCACCCATGCAAGTTTGGTTTAGATAGCTTTTTAAGTTTCTTGGTGATAGACCTGCTCCAAAAACTTTAACCTGGCCACTCATCTGGAAAGTGAAGATCAGATCCAGCATCCGAAGCATGTCCAGTAGTATGCACCCTTAGATGTATCATCCATGCAAGTTTGGTAAACATAGGGCTTATATGTTATAGTTAATTGGAAATGAGATCTGCTCCAAAAACTTTAACCTGGTCACTCATCCGGAAATGTAGGTCAGATCCAGCATCCAAAGCAAGCATGCAAATTTGGTCAATATACATGGTAAAGGGTTTATAGTTACTTGGGAATGAGACCTACTCCTAAAACTTTAACCTACATCAAAAACATTAACCTGACCATTCTTCAGCTGAATTTAGAGCACCTAAAACCTTGGCTGCTACAATGAACCATACAGGAAGCATCCTCCATGCATCTTTGATTAATATAGGGCATAGAGGTACTTGAAAAAGAATTTGCTCCAAAAACTTTATCCTTGGATGCCAAAGCTGAGGATTTTAATAAGCCCCCCCCCCCCCCCCAATTTTGTTGAGGTGAGCTAAAAATGACATGACATTAACAGCGCACAGCATGTACTTGATATTTTGACTCCTTCAAAATTAAATTAGAAACCAGGCTACATTGAAATACATTAACATTACACACATGACTAAAATTTCCTTGGCACATGATGTATTGTCACATGCAATATGTCACAAGACTCTGACCATGTACAGTTAGCAGGAAACGTTAAGTTTCAGATTCTGCACAGATAAGAGAATGCCTTAACAACCACAACTTCCGGACATGCAATAAATGTTCTCAATGACTATCACATCAATCTTTTAATGTACATGACTGTTTATGGCACACAGTGTATATGATATTTATTTTTATCTGATTTTTTTTTTTAAATTCTGTAAACACGCTAAACAAGGAAACAACAATCAGATATAAAGTTTTGTCTCTCATTTATGTCATTTTTTATTTTTTTATTTTATTTCCCCCCCTACTTTTTGCTATCATTTTCAGATTTTTTTATGCCCCCATATCGAAGATTCGGGGGGTATAAAGTTATTGCCCTGTCTGTCCGTCTGTCTAGCTAAGCCTTTTTTTTTGTTTGTCCACAAAAACTTTAACATTGCCCATAACTTTTGATTGGTTAGAGCTATGGCTTTCATATTTCACATGATTGTGTATTCCTAGTGACAAGACCTTTCTTTGGGTACCATCATATTTAACCTTTTAACCTTGAAGTTTGACCCAGTTTTGCAAAATTTTACCAAACTATAACCATGTCCATAACTTTTGAACGTTTGGTGCTAGGGCTTTCATATTACTTCACATTGTAATCTTTGTGACTAAGACCTTCTTTTGGATACATGTACCAACAACTTTGAACCTTTGACCTTGGAGTTTGACCTACTTTTAAAAAAAAATTTAACCTTGGCCATAACTTTTGAATGGTTGGTGCTTGGGCTTTCATACTTCAAATATGTAATTCTTGAGACAAGACCTTCTTTTGGATACATGTACCAACAACTTTGAACCTTCGACCTTGGAGTTTGACCTACTTTAAAAAAAACTTTAACCTTGACCATAACTTTTGAATGATTTGTGTTACATACAGCTATCATATTTCACATGTGTATTTCTTGTGAGAAGGCCTTTCCTTGGGCACCATTAATTTTGACCATTTGACCTTGACATAGATGTTTGACTTATTTTTGAAAAACTTACCTTTTCCATATCTATTCAATGGTTGCTGCCAGGGCTTTCATATTTCACAGGTATATTTCTCGAGATGAGACCTTACTTTGGGTAGCAACATATTTGATTTGCATTCGAGAAAGTTTATTATAAGAGTGTTCGTTACTGTATATACAGGAAAGTGTTCAAGTTACCTGTACCTCTTTTTTATGTCCATCATCAACTTCCTCTTCCTCCGAATCTTCCTCTGCAAGAACTCCCAAATTTCTTCCTGAATAATCACATGAAAAAGACAAACTTTAATTGATAAAATTTAAACTGATAGAAACAACTCACAACTTATTCAAGTAGGAATTACAAATTAATATTGTCAAAACTAATATTAAAAACGAAAATGTAACCATTCATAACTCTCTCAATGAGCTTTGCCTTGTGACTAAACTTAACAAACTAATCTTTGTACATGGCTCTTGACTTCATAAAATGTTATATACTTTTAAAAAAAATATTGAAACTAAAAAATTTATAAAAGTCATCTAGACAATATATAATAAATTATATATAGTTCCCATGTGTAGAACTTTGATCCCCTGTTTTGGCTCTCGTGGGGCCATGATACATGTATGAACAAATCTGAATCTGTACTACCTGAGAATACTTTCACCTAAGTTTCATCTTTTCTAGCCCAGTATTAGCCGTTCTTGATGATTTTTAAATAACCCTGGGCCTAGGTACCAAGCTTTTACTATAATATTTTAATTATCTTCCACTAGAAGTGGGTGTGGCCCTTTATTTAAACAAACTTGAATTCCCTTAACTCAAGAATGCTAAATTGCTTTGTCAGGCAATTCTGTTTGAAATTGGGCCAGTGGTTCTGGAAAAGACTTTGCAAAAATTTTACAGAGAACACACGACACACTGAGTAATGTTGGACACTCTTTTATCAGAAAAGCTTACTTAAACCAATTCACTTGAGCCTTTAGGACTGGTGAGCTATCTACAGAATATTCCTAGTTCCAGAATACGAAACTGTATACCAATATTTATTTGTGTGCAAGAAAGTTTCACAACCCCTCTTTTACAGGGAAATATTTTTTGCCACAAACCATTACTTTAAGTGTGTATTTATGCAAAATGATTCCTCTGCAGTCATGAACATTTATCACCGTTAAGGGATTTCAACCTGATGAATTGCACATAAAAGTTGTCACAAATAACAGTTGATTGATACATGTAGTATCAGAAGTTAAACTTTTTAGAACATTTCTGGATTTCATGAATTCTTGTGATACAGTAACAGGAAAATTTCCTAAGTGAATTAATATAAATGTTCTGTATGCTAATTCTGTTGGTTGGAATAGCAGCAGTCTTAAAGTGACATATCATTTTTAATGATCTAGCTGACATACTTAAGACAAATGCAGGTTTTATGTTCAACTTCAGCTCGACAGGACTAGCAAGCATTTGCAGGGTTCTCATTAATGCAAGAATCTGCGTCCTAGACGCAGCAAAATTACTTGGGACGCAAGGTTCTTAAAAACGATGCGTCCACGGACTCGAGATCGAACGCATCCTCGTTAGTGAGAAAATTCGGGTAATTTCAAAAAAGGGAAATTTAGATGTTAGGATTTGGCAAAGAAATATTTAATCAAAACCTTCCCGTAACTATCATAAAGTTCATCCAAGAAATAACTTTTCTTGTACTTATTTCTCTTTTTTTTTTAAACAGGGATTGATCATATTTAAGCTACTTCATGTTTATTAGTCCATAGTCATAATAATGTCGCATGCCAAACTCCGACAGCTGTAAACACACTGCAGTTTTTAAAAAAAAAACAAAAACAAAAAAAAAACAAAAAAAACAAAACAAAAAAAAACACACTTTTGAATCTTGAGTGTTATCTACATGCTTGTATACACAATGCGGCTTGATTATCTCGTTAATTTCACCCAGTGCAGACGACCGACAGGATTAGTTACACCTCATTGCAAATGACACCTGTGATTGTATACAGTCAACTTTAGGATACTAGTTGATTATGCAACATTTAATTTTAGCTTTATAAACACCGAGTTAATTTTTATGGCAATTGATTACGCGTGTATTTTAGAATATGGCTTGAATGCATTACCAGTTTATATACTTGAATAATATGTTAATATTGCGTAAACAAACTGATAAAATGATAAAGATTTTCATTGGTTTATTGGTGTTTGGATGGAAGGATACTGCAATAATTTAGTTGGGACTCAACATAATTATTCTGGGACGCATCAAATTTAGCTGGGACGCAACCTTCTCAGAAATCTTGAGTCCTGGGACTCAAGTTAGCAAAAACCTAGTGAGAACCCTGATTTGGTTTTTACATAATCTGATTAATTTCAAAAAAATCCTGTGCAGAGTTGCTGGTCATAAGTCTCTCAGACACCTCTGCAATATGGGCTAACATATCAAGATTTTTTAAGAAAAGCATAAAAAAATCACACCAAGGATTCGTTTAAGAAAAATCAATAACAATGACATACTAGCTACTTCCACACCATTTGTATTTGAAGAAGAGAGATGCTTTCTTTTAATTTTACAAAAAGTAAAACACATTATATAATGTTATCAGGTTAACCAAACACAGGCAACTCTGTGAATATCAATTACATGTCATTTTTATGATCTAACATTAAACAGTAATTCGTACTTACACTCGTAGATTTAATATGTTTGTTTGCTAAATATTTATAATTTGATATTTTCGGAGTTTTATTTAAGGAATAACTGTCCAATTTTTTGGTTTCATGATGTGATCAATTGATTGGCTTGAGTGATAATTTGCATAAACGCCGAACGCGTTTATGCATTAAATTATCACGCAAGCCAATCGATTGATCATCGTCATGAAACCAAAAAAATCTGACAGTTATTCATTATATTTACATGCTCTTGATTTTGCAAAATTCACTTGCTACAAGCCCCGCTTCTGTCTCAATTAGTCCCACCCCGCACATGATTTTTTTTTCACCACGCCTATCGATGAACCAGTAGATTTATATAGATTCTGAAATAAAGTATTTTTACTATTTGAAATTTTATCTCAGACAAAGACATCGGAAATGTAAATTTTTATTTACATACAACATTCATTAACATGTGTAATAAATGCTGAACCTGAGCCACAGGAGTTGTTCTTAATTACACCCATAAGAAAACCCTGTTACACATGCATAGATAGTTAGAATAATCTGTTTCTTAATTGGGACAGGATCTCACCACAGATAAAATATATCCCATTTACCTGCAATGTAGCAGAAAATAGCAGAATGACACCAAACCAATTTTGGGAAACAAAAATGAAATTGCCTTTAAAATAATTAACCTTCAAATTTCTCATGATAAACCTTTTCGCTGTTGTGGATATATTTCATTAAAAAAAAATAATCCATCTAATGAAAGAATTCAACACTTTTTCTCAATGTCTGTTAACTGTGGCAAGGTTTTGTCCCAGGACACAGTCAGATTTTTCTAACAACTTTCCTATGTACCAGGTTTAACAACAAACTTTGTTCCATGTGTTGGCAATGTAGCAAAATAAACAGGACTTGATCATGTTGATAATTTCAATCAACATGGGTAGCATTGGCAGATCCAGAAGGGGGTTCCGGGGTTGGAACCCTTTATTTTTGCCGAGTGGAGAGAGAGAGAGAGAGGGGGGGGGGGATAAAATGTTTGCTGGTGCCTGTGATATTAACCAGCCAATGATTGAGCTGCATGTACGAGGCCCTGGTAGAGAGTGATCCCCCATAATTAAATTTTTTGATACATAATATTCTGTAAAGTGGACACCTAAAATTTTCTGGAATGACTCTGAACCAGGGACCTATATACTATAGTATATATATAGGTCGATCCCTGTTCTGAACGGGCACCTGCTGATCTGCTCCTTCATATCTTTAGAGAGAAATTATAAGCTTCATGAAGAATAAAATCATAAAATATCATTGGACTTTTGCTATAAAATAAAGAGTACCTCTGTCCATTTCCCAGTTATCAGTGATATGGAACTGTGCAGATTATTTAACTTATTTAAGAAGCGCCAACTTCGGCCGCCATTTGTAAACCGTTGCTAGTCACGTGATTTCTCCCGATATTGAGCCCGATATATTTTTTTGTAGTACATGTTTGTATGTATATGGAAAATAGCACATTTATGGTCCCACAATCTATTTTCCGAGGCGGCGAAGGATCAACGCATTTTAATAATAAAACGCATAAAGAAAAGAAATAGAGAATGAGAAGTCAGCTAAATACGGCATAACATATACACATGTAAATATATGAAGAAAAGGGCGGAAAATTTATAAATTATTTATAAATTTTCCGCCCTTTTCTTCATATATTTACATGTGTATATACTTTCATTGGACGCTTCCTTCGTTTTGGACTGTAGCTTTGCCAATACCCAAATAGGCAGTGGCTCCACAAACAAGTTTGAGCTTAGAAAAATAAAGAACAAGGTTCACTTAGGGCCTTTTTTTGCCCTGTGAATTTCAGAAAAACTCAAACTGCTTGGTTTTAGTTGACAATGCATTAAATATCATTTAGACCTTTGGTGACTGCATATCTATCAAAAATAACGTAATTTTCTAGCTAGTCAATGCATTATGACGTCATGAAATGCGTCATTTTCCTCAAATCCTGAAAAATTCTACAAAAACAGCCAATTTTTAAAGCTATTTTGCGATATCTAATATAGAGCGCAACCCCTGATCTAAAATATGCAACTATTAAATGATAGAACTATTTCTGAGAATTACAAAACATGTTTTATTTTTTAGATCAGAGGGTGCGCTCATATTATTTCTCTTCTTTAAAAGTTCTCAAATATACTTGTTTTCCTTAAAATTCAAGAACATCGCAATTCCATGAAGCCTGTTTTCCAAGACCTTGGCTTTAAGAAGAAAATTTTTAATAGGAAATGAAAGCACTAAGTCTCTACTTTATCTTGATGTTTAAAATGGAACATACAGTGTTAGTCAATAAATTGGTATATCTACAGGGCCATTTTATGCATGTAGTGAACTTAGCATAATTTTGGCATGATTTAATTAGCTGTGAAAAGGGGCATAACTCTGCAAATCCATCAAATGTCTTGCTGAAATCCTGTTTTTCATGAAATGTATTTTTCTTTTCTTTTTTTTTTTTTTTTTTTTTTGGAGATATTGATGTTGGTTCAAATGCTCCTAGTTATATGTACATGTATGTTAGTTAATTTATTTATTAAATTTTATTTATGTAGTAATTATTTTTAAAATTTATTTATTTATTTATTTATTTATATTGGTGGTGGTTTTTTTTTTTTTTTTTTTTTTACTCTGTGAATATGAGATACGTGTATGTACTAATCGCGAACATTTCTTGAAAAACAAGAAATAATTAATTTGGAATCAAGATTTTTATCATATGAATTATTCAATATTATGATAAGTACATGCAAACTGTGTTGAAATAGTTAAGATATTTCCTACGTGAAAATACAAATGTAGATCTGAAATAAGTTAATTATTTAAAGGCAAAAAGGGAGGGGGGGCATGTAGCAACACATTTATATAATCCTATCAATTTGGCGAAATTCTTGGCCCAACGTCAAACTAATTGTAACATAAATCATTTTGTCATAAATTAAATCTAACATGTACAAACTATTCGCATTAAAAAAATCTTAGAAAATCTAATGCAACCAAAAAGAAAGCATAATTTTGGCATGATTTTTAAAATTAGCTATGAAAAGGGGCATAACTCTGCAAATCCATCAAATGTCTTGCTGAAATCCTGTTTTTCATGAAAGCGTAAACTGATTTTAACTTTTCTGGTACAGTTAAACAGATAATTTTTTCACATAGATATTACAAATTTGAAACGGGTATTTTGAAATTAATTTAGTAATAGCTATTTAATTCAAATTTGGGAAGATTAGCATTTTTAATTAAGAGATAGTAAACACAGAGTAAAAAAATAGTGATAACTAAATTTCCTTTAGACAAAAATTTAGTATGCATGGATCATTTCATTTAGTATATAAATACTTAATATGATTAAAAACACATCCATAAAGATTTAGAGACGACATTTTATGCTTTGCGTGATAACCTCTGCCCTAGCCTAAAATTTAATTTATTATCAGGCAAGGAAATGCAGCATACACTCTGAAGTGAGATTAAACGTCTGTAAAAAAAAAAAAAAAAATACTGATTTAAAATCTAACCAAAATATACGAAATTGGCAAGAGATATGTATCAGTTTCCTATAGTAAGTCTCATAGAAAATCATGAACCCCAAATAATGCTTCACCCCATCCGATCTTGTTGGATTTTTTATTACATTTATTTTGTGCATTCTAGAGTTCATGATAAATAAATTGATGCCTGGAGTAATCCGTTTATTTCAATGTGGATGCGCGAGTTTAATTGAAACAGATTACTTATTAACTTCTCTTCATACTTCTAGAAGTAAATTAATCAAGTAATGTTTAACAAGTTTTAACATTTGGACATTAGTCCTGACAAATTGCCTTTTCTACTCAATGGACCGTACCAACGTATAGCAGTCATTCTACGATAAATGGACCAATTCAGAGTATAAAACATGAAAAAAATAATTGTTTCAAATAGCAAAATGAACATTATAATTCTCTAAAGGACATATCAGTGAACTTGAAAACAAAGAATTGTCCACAAATCTGGTATCGTTAACTTTTTTCAATAATTTCAAGATACCATTGATTTTAATTAATATTACGAAAGTAAATGCTTGATCAAGCATTATTATTTTTTAAATAAAGCTGAACTTGACCAATTTTTCATTTCTGATGTTCAGTGAAGAACGCTAAAGTATGATTCATGAAGTCTCGCATGAATCCGAATTTAAATTAAATTTTCGGGAAAAATATCGTTACGGAAGTTAATCGTTACGGAAGTTAATTCCCAGCAATAAAAGTTAAAATTCTCTTCAATAGTTAAAATCAAAGTCTGTTTTAGGATATTAAACAAAAGTATGAAGCATTTCGCTCCCAAAATAACAAAAAAAATTATACCTTTAATGCAAAAACTTTCCTGAAATAGCGTTACGGAAGTTAAATTTTTAAAAGAGACAACTGTTTTTGTCTAATTCATTTTGTTATGTCGAATACGTAATCGTCTAAAATAGCTGACTTGCAACTAGAATCGATGATATAAGGCGTCGTGGTCACTTTCAGATAAGTTTCATTTCTTTTTGAAATCTGCATTCTGTGCGTGAACTTTAAAATAAAATCGTTACGGAAGTTAACCGATTTTAAGCGACATGCTTATGATTTCGCATGAAAGGAGATTCCATGCATTTCTTTGCGAGAAGTGGTTTGATTTCTTTTTCTATAGGATAAAAGACGGAACGATTTTACGGCTGAAAATTTCATCTTGAAATTTGTAAATAAATGAAGCGACATTAAGATTTGCAGTGGAATACGTTTTTCAACATTACATTATCTTCATATCAAAACTTTAACTGCATATTTATCGGTGAATATTTACAAAACCATGTGTGTATGTTAAGACTTCGAGTTGAAATCGACCTTTAAATTTATAGTTAAGATATTACAACGGTGAATTTGTAAGCGACATAAAAAATTCTTAATTGGTTATGTTTTTGTGGAATGACTGATAGGCGAAATCAATACTAGAGCTGAACTAATCTAAGGTACAATCGATGTGGTAACCAGTTGTAACTACGACGGATCAAACATTCAGGGTAAATCTGTGTTTTAATGTATATATATAATATATTATTGGGTAATATTTATGCTAAGAGAATTCTTATTGTATATCTTTGGATAGATTTCAAAAGATTTTTTGAGCACTAGTTCTGAAAATCTAAGCTTTGTTTTATGTTTTTATGAAAGAAACAAATTCTTTGGGTCGATCCTTTCACGTATCAGATTTGATGAATTGTTCCAATGAATAGTTTATTCACTTTAAAAAAAATATATCCATTCGTTTATTTTAGTATTAATGTTGATTAAACTTGTTTCACATTAGAAAAAAGCAATATATACGTGATATTTGGTGCTTCGTCTGTACAAAGGTCTTTGTTTGTTCGATTGTGTAGGTGTGGGAGGGTGTGTGTGAAAATAATTTAATTTGATTTCAAATACATTGAAGTCTTTACTTGAGCAGTAAATCAATTGAATTGTTTTAACATTTATGCAGAACGTGTATACAGTGTTTGTTTGTTTGTATGTTGTTTAACGTCCCTATAGTGAAACTCAGAATATGTTAACCTTTTATGCTAGAAGACAAAGGTGATCCTTTCACCTGAACTGTAAAAGGACACTGCAGTCAAATAGAAAATCTGCATATGCTCAGCTCAGTAGATTATTGTGTTGAACTGTTGTGCGCAAGATAGTTTTAATCGAAATGTCACAATTCCATTGTTCTGTCTAATCCTAAATAAATTTAAAAAGCTCTTTAAAGTCAAAAGTTATGGGGCATTGAAGTTTTCCAAATTAAAGTTTCTTTTTCAATGGTGATAACAGTTTGCAGTTCACAGACTGCCCCAGTTGCTCTTTGATATTGACAAAACTGATTGTAAATACCCTCTCTATCAGTACAAATGTTCCTAGTATTACTTTTAAGATTTTTTTTTTAAATTACACAACTCCCTTACATTAATTACAGATAAGAATATGTAAATGCTTTATTTATTTATTTATTTATTTATTTATTTTAAAGGGATTATTTCAAAGTATTAGATGTAATTTTAGAAAAGTACTGATAGTTCTTAACTACAAACTATCACAATTTTAATTTGATTTTTGATTTTTATGTCATTTAAGAGGCCAAATTCGGCTGTAGCCATACCTTGTCATTTGCAATTCTAACCCATACGTACATGTATTTGTACAGTATAAGTGTTGACTGGTTTGAACCCATCGTTTTCCTTTGCATTAAGGGATGATGATGTGATTTTAGGAACCTTAATGTGTTAATCGTTTATCTAGCTCACGCTCTTGCATTTGAATAACCAGTCTTTAGCGTTCAATACTTTATTTTTGTGAACTTTATGCTAACATAACTTTAATTGTTTATTGGGCTTCATGATTCCTTTGACTATACTTTATTCCATTAGACACTTTAAGATTTTTGTGTACGTGTATCTGATCCTGTTTTAGTCAGGCACATAGTATCGTTTTTTGAAAGGAGGGGTGGGGGGAGCTCCGAAAAAGAATTGAAACTTACCTGAAAAAACTTTGTCAAGCAAACAAAAAAAAAAAAACAAAAAACAAAAAAAAAGAAAAAAAAACAAAACAAAAAAAAAGAAAGATTGAAAGAAAAGAAAAGAAAAGATTGATTGATTATTAAAAAAGAAAAGAAAATACGTGGCTGTTAGTTCAATGGAGCCAAAAACTAATGTGAACTTTTTTGATCGAAATATGCCCGTCATTTGACTTTATGTACATATATGTAGCTGTTATTTTTTCACATTTTCGACAATGACGGATGTCGAATCTAGACACAAAACAATCATGGTTGTCAAGTCTGGTTGACGGGGATTCAAATCTGTTCAAAGCAAGAGCAAGACCACTCTTAAACTGAAAATAATTTTAAAAAATGTGAAAGTTCATTTGGGTCAAATGAAAATCTTTTCTTCTCATGGGCAAGAAAAGATAACACTGACTGGAAAACTATCTAATCCTAGGATTGAGTCAATATGTGTCATAATTTGATATAGGAAACTAGAGAGGAAAATTATTTAAGTCTTATTCTCAGAAATAGAAGGGCTACAATTATATTTTAAATTAAATAACATTCCAGTGTGTACGTTAAGATTCATATTAGTTTAAGTCATAGTACCGAAACTATTATGGGGTTACAAGATAGAACTAAAGGGGTTAATATATTAAAAAAAAACTCTTTTCAGGAAGAGATAAGTCTGTAATAAATCATCACTTCCGTGTAGAGGAGATTAAAATTTGTCAAACAGAAGAGCGAAACTTTTATATATTATTAATATTAACATACAAACATCCCAAAAGGGTTCAGATTCAGATTTTTTCAAATCATGACCTCCGCACCTGGGTTAGGCCATAGTAAGAGAGTCAACATTTTATAATGGAATATATCTTTATTAAAGTTTTTAAGATTGCTTACTTTTTAGTATGCAACCTTAAAAACTTAAATATAATTATCTCCTGTTGTACAATGTAACTCCAATAAGGAAATTGTTTATTTACTGTTACTTGTTATTAAAAAAAAATAAATGTAATCTTTCTTTTTAAACAAATTAAGCGAAAGTTACACACTTAAAGCACATTGACAGCAGGGACATTATATGGACATCAACAAATGATGAATTTCTAACATTACCATGATGGAAGAAGAATCTAACTCTGAGGGCAGCCACTGTTTTAGATGTTCTGAAGATGCAGAATACTACTGCAGAGAATGTGAGGATGACTTCTGTTCACAGTGTAAAGAAAAACATTTGATAGACCTTGACTTTCATACCCATGATGTAGTTACAACTGAGATGAAATATGGAAATAATACGTATGATGTAGCGTGTGAAAAACATCCATATAATGTCTATGATTTGTGGTGTCGAAGATGTAAGTGCCCTTTTTGTAAATATTGCAAAGGACACAAAAATCATCCGGCGGTTGGAATTCAAAGAGCATATGAGAAAAGCAAATCTCAAAGCCGAAAAAATATTGCCAAAATTCGAAGCATAATTTTGCCATATAATATTGCCTTACTTGATCAAATGAAGAATAATTTACCCTCCAACATTAGAACATGTCAATTGGAAACTCCAAAGCACTTTTCAAAGATGAAGGAAAGAGGAGAAACAGCAAAAATACTTTTAGACTCTGTACAAAGTCTAGACTTATCGAGATTTAAAAATTTTGTTGAAAGAGTAAATCAACTGAAGAGGTTTGTCATTGCAACACAAATGTCAGTTGATCAGTCAGAGACTTTTTTTAAAGATGCCAGTAAAATGGCTATCGGTTTTAAAGAAATTTCCCCTGCTTGCTATTGAAGACTTTCCGAATACTTACGTAAAACCTAGCATAACTCTGTCTGCTCTCAACAGGGAAAAAGTAATTCATATGTTTGGAGAAGTAGAGATAATAAACGCTGGAAAGAGAAACATTGGAAATGAATACCTTTTTGAAGTTCTGCCTGACGTTGAATTTACCGAATCAATTGAATTGGATAGAATGTGGAAGAGTTTGCACATTTCCTTGTAACACCAGAGAAAGTCTGGATCAGTAACCACAGAAAACTTCTCCTCGTACTCAAAAACGAGAGAGTACTGTATAGTGAAAAAGATGTTTTAACTGACGTTGATTTTCCGTGTGTCCATTCAGTAACAAGGGCAGGAGAATTAATTTATATAGACAAAAGACATAACATCAAGAAAGTGGAAAGACAGAAAAAATTGCACGTGCCAAGAATTTTAATTGCGAGTAAGCCCCCTTGGAAACCTTGTAGTGTCTTTTGCTCTTTTTTAAATGACGATTTGTTGATAGGCATGTGGAGTCGTAAAAATGATGCGTCGATGGTTGCAAGGTTTGATAGGTCAGGAAGACCAATGCAGAGTTTCCAATATAACGAATCGGGTAAACCCCTTTATAAAAAAGCATTGTTTATAACAGAAAACCAGAACGGTGACGTCATTGTATCTGATTTTTGGTATGGTGTAGTGGTGGTAAATCGAGAGGGGAAATACCGCTTTTCGTACAAGGGTCCTCCATTGGGACCACGATTATCCCCACATGGTGTTTGCACGGATGTTTTGATGCACATTCTGGTTTGCGATTACAATACCAATAGTGTTCATATGATTGATAAGAACGGACACTTTTTGCGCTTTATACTGACGAATAAACATGATATGAACGAACCTCGAAGCCTTTTCTACGATAATATAAGCCACTTACTTTGGGTTGGATCAGAAGACAAATACACCAATCCTTCTATTTACAGATATATAAACCGAAAGAATGTATAAAGGGAGATTGGATTTGCTTATAGCTAGTCACTGGGAGAAATGAGTATCAGTAAAGTATTAGACATTAAAATTTAAAAAAAAAATCACTTCTCTCCAATCGATCAATGACTACATTTGAACCTGTCCCTTTCTAAATGAAAAAAAACCTAGCAAATATTTTTTGTTTAATTTCAGAAAAGAAGAGAAACATTTATGATTGGACAAACTGAAATTGAAACCTGTGTATATCGATATGTATTTTATAATTTGAATTTCATACAAATGTTTTAAACATACAAACCAAAGATCAGGTACATTAAGTACAAGTCTCTGTAAGAATCAGGCAAAAGGTGAATCATGAGGGTTCTCAGAATTTGATGATTTTCAACACATAGATTTCTCTTGCGCTATAAACAATGTATGCAAAGTGAAAAAAGTTTTGGGTCATGGTTACTATGGAAACACGACAAAAGAAATTTCCCTAGCAACCGGTCAATTTTCCATGTGTATGGACAAAAAAATCACTAATCTTTAGGGCTTGAAAATGATTGTAAATATTATAGAATTTCTTCTTATTTATTCTTATCGTAAAGATAAACATTTAAAGTGTTTTCACAATGCACTACATAGAAATAAGAATTTGAGATATAACTGTACTAGACATGGGTAGATATGCATGTTTTGTGTTTTTTGCTGATTCAGCACTTTTGTTGATTTTGGTACTTTTCAAGGCCTTATTACTAAAACTTCTGGCGTAATACAGGAATTGCATATATTTCGCATAAAAGCAGAGGCATGTGTCTTTTGGACTTTCAATTCAAAAAGGTGTGTTTTTTGAGAATTCCAATCCGTTGCCTAGCAACAAAAATGGATGTTTTGATAAACAAAAATGGAAAATCGTACAATGTAAAACATTATTAATCTAATAAATTGTAATCTGAGAGTACAAGAACACAGTTTAAAGTAAGAAAAAATATCTGAGACAATTTTGCAAACCAGGAAATATTGTAAAGATACTTATCTCCATGGCAACAGCAAATTCTCCATAGCAACAAAGCAAATAAAGTCACTTTTGGCACATATTTATGAACAAGTGTAAAATATTAATCCACAGTTTGGTAGCATATTGCAATTAATCAAATTTGATTTCGTAATAGATGTCTTAGAAAAGTACATTTTTATGATTTTAATCCATTTTTATACTTTTAACCCATGGCAACAACATTTGAGCACATAAGAACCAAAATATGTTAGGGAGAGTTAAGAGCAATTTTCTAACCACTTGAACTTTTGGGGGGGGGGGGGGGGCATGCATGATCACTGATTTTCCTGAAACTTTGTTCATTATCACTTATTATAATAGTAACAATTATAATAGTTTGACAACAGAATTTTAAATCAATTAATGTTTGGTTGCTATGTGCCTTAGTTGTCATGGTAACAGATAGGATAATTTCAACAAAATTTAGATTTTCGGCTACTTTGAATCTTTATTGACCCTTCACAAGCACTTAAAATCCAAACTGGCCATTTACATATGAAAGAAGATGTGTTAGTGAAACACTAATACCCCCGTATGGCAGGTTATGGCGAAGATTAAAGTTTCTCAAATGCAAGGTTAAAGTTTTCTAAGAGTAAGTAAAAAATCAAGGTCAAGGTCAAAGTTGTTGGTATCCAAAGGAAGGTCTTGTCACAAGTATTACATATGTGAAGAATGAAAGCCCTAGCACCAACCTTTCAAAAATTATGGCCAAGGTTAAAGTTTTTCAAAAGTAGGTCAAACTCCTGTGTCAAGGTCAAAGGGTCAAAGTGGTTGGTATTCAAAGGAAGGTGATGTCACAAGGATTACATAAGTGAAGTATGAAAGCCCTAGCATCAACCATTCAAAAGTTATGGCCAAGTTTAAAGTTTTTCAAAAGTAAGTCAAACTCCTAGGTCAAGGTCAAAAAGGTCAAAGTAGTTGGTATTCAAAGGAAGGTCTTGTCACAAGGATTACATATGTGAAGTATGAATGCCCTAGCTCTAACCGTTCAAAAGTTATGGCCAAGGTTAAAGTTTTTCAAAAGTAGGTCAAACTCCTAGGTCAAGGTCAAAGGGTCAAAGAAGTTGGTATCCAAAGGAAGGTCTTGTCACAAGGAATACACATGTGAAGTATGAAAGCCCAAGCACCAACTGTTCAAAGGTATGGCCAAGGTTAAAGTTTTTCAAAAGTAGGTCAAACTCTAAGGTCAAGGTCAAAAGGTCAAAATTGTTGGTATCCAAAGGAAGGCTTTGTCACAAAGAATACACATGTGAAGTTTGAAACCCCAAGCACCAACTGTTCAGAAGTTATGGCCAAGGTTAAAGTCTCAAAAAATTTTGCAAAAGTGGGTCAAACTCCAAGGTCAAAAGGTCAAATATGATGGTTACCAAAGAAAGGTCTTGTCACAAGGAATACACATGTGAAATATGAAAGTCATAGCTCCAACCAATCAAAAGTTATGGGCAAGGTTAAAGTTGACAACAGACAGACAGACAAACAGATAAACAGATAAACAGATAGACAGGACAAAAACAATATACTCCCGGGATCTTTGGATCCGGGGGCATAAAAAAACCCAATAAACCTTGTTGCCACTTATTATGTAAAGAAAGTTTTTGGAATATATCTCTATATAGATGGTAACCACGGCTACATTTGGCATACATTTTATATGCAGAAAAACGCTCAGTATATTCTTATTATGGGAGTTACATGACTCAACTCGATCACCAGTGATAAAAATTCCAAATACTTGACCTTATAAAAAGAAAGGTTTTAGCAATATTATTCTAACAATGAAAATATCAGTTGCCAAGATGACACAGCAAAGTACCTCAATTTGTTATAACCCTGCAAACAAAAATATGGGTTATAAAGGAATCACCTGTCTGTCTCTGTGTCCTTTTGTCCGTGCAATTATGTCCGAGACATAACTTTGTAATGCTTTGTAATGTAGAAACATTACAAGAGTTCATTTTCATAGAAAAATTGTTAATAATCTGAGGGTGTATCCTGACTTTTACCCAAGGTCATTTCAGTTAGTTCAAGGCCTAGGTCACTAGCAGTTAAAAGTGTAAAATTGATGTCTGGTCTACAACTGTCTTTTTCTGTATTGCTGCAAATGTTAAAAAAGGGACTCTCAACATGCTCAAAAATGCCATTTTCAAACTTTAAGGCATGTTGTCATAGTAACCATGAGACATAGCAACTAATATTTGCTTGATATGAGTTAATGGTATTGAATTTAGGCTGAATCATGTCAATAAGAATGGAAAAAAGTTGTTTAGCCATGGTATTAACCATCAATTTGGGGGGGGGGGTAAGAAAAAAATCATTGTTTCATCTGTTACCATGTCAAGAAGTCTCCTTAACAAAAATATTATGCTTCCTGTCAGTTTGTCTCAATATTTAATCAATACCCATCTATTTTCGCAGAGTGTTCTAAGGATTTATAAAGCGTAAGCATACTATGCCAAAATAGTGCACAGCTTCTATTTCTAAAGAAAATCCGACGACAGGGATCGAACTCATGATCACGAGATTGACAGTCCGATGTGCTACCGACATGACGCCATTATCAAACACTGTATTTTAATGTAAATAACCGTAGTTTCAAATATTTGGCACTTAAAAGAAAACAAAACAAAATATTTTTAACATAGTTTCTTACAATTTTCTTATCCCTTTATTCAATTAAATTCTTTGAAACTTTCTGTACATTATACCTAACTGCATGAAACACTCAAAATTATGACGTAATAGTATCACATCGTAACATCATGAAAAGGGTGTACCAACATGTTAGTGAGAGACGTTGAAAATCGAAAAAAAATGTTGTTATACTTCCCTTCGAAGAAGGGGGGGGGGACATATTGCTCTCCTGTCTGTTGGTCGGTTGGTTTGTCCGTCTGTTGGTCCACCAACAGTTTCTGTTTATTTTCTTCACAGAGGTTGCACATACTGGTATAAAATTTGGTACACAGATGTATCATAAGAATATCTACGTCAATTTCTGATTTGGGTACGATCGAGCAATTTTTGACAGAGTAATGCCCCTTGGACTTAGAGACTTAGAAAAATTCCAATTATTTGCAGTTTTCGTTAATTTTCTTCGCAGAGGTTGCACATACTGAAATGAAATTTGGTTTACAAATTTATCATAAGAATATGTAGGTCACCTTCTGTTTTGGGTACGATCGAGCAATTTTTGACAGAGTTATGCCCCTTGGACTTAGAAAAATTCCAATTATTTGGGGGGGGGGGCGGGGGGCATGTGTTTCACAAACATCTCTTGTTGCTTTTATACAACAGTCAGCATAATAATAACAATAGTGTTGTGGTTTGCATGCACCTCCTGCTCGTGTACCATGTGTCAAACCCTGACTACTATTTAGACATAGTTCATGCAAAGCACAACACTATTACATAAATCAAACACTTGAATCCACACTTTTCAAAACTTATGTCCATTGGTCGCCATCTTTGGGGAATACGCATAGAACCCTCACAGTAGGCTTTGTAGTTTTCTGGTTTATAACTTTGTCATTTGACTAGAAAAAAAAAATTGCTTTTATGTTGATCACCACAGGATAAGGCTACCCATTCATTGAAGGAAAAGAATTTAAACACAATGGATGCATCAGAGCACGCCTAAATGTTTGGTAGGAAAAAGTCGTTTTTTTCCCTTTTGACCTTTTGGTTGACCCACAAAGCTGAAAGGGACACAACTTTTGCAAAGTATGGATTGCATTATTCACCAAAGTGATGTGGAACAGCTTATTAATGTCCCCAATTCAACATTCCAAAATTATACATGTTGATACAAATTAATAAGGAGAATATCAGTGGTCCTGACATATCTACACTTTTAACCGAAAGTGACATTGAACATTGCCGGAATGATCTTGAATCAAGGCAACATAATAGCTAAAGGCCATATGTAATATTTTTGTGAACAATGAACGTTCAATGTTTTCAATTAAGAGCTGTGTACTAGAAA